CAGTATGCGTGTTCCTTAGCAGTGAACGATGAGCCCTGGTTCCGTTCATCCCAACTCTTTCAAGGGAAGTGTGTGGCTCTGACTTGCTTGATAATGCGGGGCAGCCAAGTGACTTCACGTCCCGTGATTCGGGTTGTGTGTTGCTTGGCAGTGAACGAGTCTATGAGTCAGTCTTACATCAAATATTTGGCGACACTTTGTCTAAATAGGCAAACCACTTAGGGTCCAGCAATTCGATTGTGGAGTCTGATCCTCTGTGTGCCTGTCTCTCCCTCTCTCTCTGTCTCTCTCTCTCTCTCTCTCTCTCTCTCTCTCTCTCTCTCTCTCTCCCTGTCTCTCCCTTTCTGTCTCTCTTTGTCTGTCTGTCTCTCTTTCCCCTCTTTCTCTCTCACTCTCTCTCACTCTCTCTCTATCCCTCTCTCTCTGTCTCTCTCTCCTACGACGTCACCGAGGTCTGCTCCGGCGTCATCAAGGTCTCCTACAGCATCATCTTGATCTGCTGCATCATCATCGAGGTCTGCTACAGCGTCATGGAGGTCTGCTACAGCGTCATGGAGGTCTGCTACTGCGTCATCAAGGTCGGCTACAGCGTCATGGAGGTCTGCTACAGCGTCATGGAGGTCGGCTACAGCGTCATGGAGGTCGGCTACAACGTCATGGAGGTCTGCTACAGCGTCATCGAGGTCGGCTACAGCGTCATGGCGGTCTGCTACAGCGTCATCGAGGTCGGCTACAGCGTCATGGAGGTCTGCTACAGCGTCATGGAGGTCTGCTACAGCGTCATGGAGGTCTGCTACAGCGTCATGGAGGTCGGCTACAGCGTCATGGAGGTCGGCTACAGCGTCATGGAGGTCTGCTACAGCGTCATGGAGGTCTGCTACTGCGTCATCAAGGTCGGCTACAGCGTCATGGAGGTCTGCTACAGCGTCATGGAGGTCGGCTACAGCGTCATGGAGGTCGGCTACAACGTCATGGAGGTCTGCTACAGCGTCATCGAGGTCGGCTACAGCGTCATCAAGGTCTCCTACAGCATCATCTTGATCTGCTGCATCATCATCGAGGTCTGCTACAGCGTCATGGAGGTCTGCTACAGCGTCATGGAGGTCTGCTACAGCGTCATGGAGGTCTGCTACAGCGTCATGGAGGTCTGCTACTGCGTCATCAAGGTCGGCTACAGCGTCATGGAGGTCTGCTACAGCGTCATGGAGGTCGGCTACAGCGTCATGGAGGTCGGCTACAACGTCATGGAGGTCTGCTACAGCGTCATCGAGGTCGGCTACAGCGTCATGGCGGTCTGCTACAGCGTCATCGAGGTCGGCTACAGCGTCATGGAGGTCTGCTACAGCGTCATCGAGGTCTGCTACAGCGTCATGGAGGTCAGCTACAGCGTCATGGAGGTCGGCTACAGCATCATCGAGGTCCGCTGCAGCGTCATGGAGGTCTGCTACAGCTTCATGGAGGTCTGCCACAGTGTCATCAAAATCTGCTGCAGAGTCATCGAAGATACCAGCCACACGTGATGCTGGCTTCCGTTGCTCGTCGGACTGGTAAGTTAGCTCGCAATATGTTTGCTTTCAAAATGTTTGAAATTCTTACAGGGCACTGGTAGCCTGTCACAACCGTTTACGTACATGTACATCAAATATCTGGCCACAATATGTCATAATAGGCAAACCACTTAGGACCCAGCAATTCGAGTTTGGAGTCTGATCCTCTGTCTGCCTGATTCTCTCTCTCTCTCTCTCACTCTCTCTCTCTCTCTCTCTCTCTCTCACTCTCTCTCTTTCTCTCTCTCTCTCTCTCTCTCTCTCTCTCTCTCTCTCTCTCTCTCTCTCTCTCTCTCTCTCTCTCTCTCTCTCTCTCTCTCGCTGTCTCTCTCTCTCTCTCGCTGTCTCTCTCTCTCTCTCTCTCTCTCTCTCTCTCTCTCTCTCTCTCTCTCTCTCTCCCTGTCTCTCCCTTTCTGTCTCTCTTTGTCTGTCTGTCTCTCTTTCCCCTCTCTCTCTCTTTCTCTCTCACTCTCTCTCACTCTCTCTCTCTCTATCCCTCTCTCTCTATCTCTCTCTCCTACGACGTCACTGAGGTCTGCTGCGGCGTCATCAAGGTCTCCTACAGCATCATCTCGATCTGCTGCATCATCATCGAGGTCTGCTACAGCGTCATGGAGGTCTGCTACAGCGTCATGGAGGTCTGCTACAGCGTCATGGAGGTCGGCTACAACGTCATGGAGGTCTGCTACAACGTCATGGAGGTCGGCTACAGCGTCATGGAGGTCTGCTACAGCGTCATCGAGGTCGGCTACAGCGTCATGGAGGTCTGCTACAGCGTCATGGAGGTCGGCTACAGCGTCATCGAGGTCTGCTACAGCGTCATGGAGGTCTGCTACAGCGTCATGGAGGTCTGCTACAGCGTCATGGAGGTCGGCTACAGCGTCATGGAGGTCTGCTACAGCGTCATGGAGGTCGGCTACAGCGTCATGGAGGTCGGCTACAACGTCATGGAGGTCTGCTACAGCGTCATCGAGGTCGGCTACAGCGTCATGGAGGTCTGCTACAGCGTCTACGAGGTCGGCTACAGCGTCATGGAGGTCTGCTACAGCGTCATGGAGGTCTGCTACAGCGTCATCGAGGTCTGCTACAGCGTCATGGAGGTCTGCTACAGCGTCATGGAGGTCTGCTACAGCGTCATGGAGGTCTGCTACAGCGTCATGGAGGTCTGCTACAGCGTCATGGAGGTCGGCTACAGCGTCATGGAGGTCTGCTACAGCGTCATGGAGGTCGGCTACAGCGTCATGGAGGTCTGCTACAGCGTCATGGAGGTCTGCTACAGCGTCATGGAGGTCTGCTACAGCGTCATGGAGGTCTGCTACAGCGTCATGGAGGTCGGCTACAGCGTCAAGGAGGTCTGCTACAGCGTCATGGAGGTCTGCTACAGCGTCTACGAGGTCGGCTACAGCGTCATGGAGGTCTGCTACAGCGTCATGGAGGTCTGCTACAGCGTCATGGAGGTCTGCTACAGCGTCATCAAGGTCGGCTACAGCGTCATGGAGGTCTGCTACAGCGTCATCGAGATCGGCTACAGCGTCATGGAGGTCTGCTACAGCGTCATGGAGGTCTGCTACAGCGTCATGGAGGTCTGCTACAGCGTCATGGAGGTCTGCTACAGCGTCATGGAGGTCTGCTACAGCGTCATGGAGGTCTGCTACAGCGTCATGGAGGTCTGCTACAGCGTCATGGAGGTCGGCTACAGCGTCATGGAGGTCTGCTACAGCGTCATGGAGGTCTGCTACAGCGTCTACGAGGTCGGCTACAGCGTCATGGAGGTCTGCTACAGCGTCATGGAGGTCTGCTACAGCGTCATGGAGGTCTGCTACAGCGTCATCAAGGTCGGCTACAGCGTCATGGAGGTCTGCTACAGCGTCATGGAGGTCGGCTACAGCGTCATGGAGGTCGGCTACAACGTCATGGAGGTCGGCTACAGCGTCATCGAGGTCGGCTACAGCGTCATGGCGGTCTGCTACAGCGTCATGGCGGTCTGCTACAGCGTCATGGAGGTCTGCTACAGCGTCATGGAGGTCTGCTACAGCGTCATGGAGGTCTGCTACAGCGTCATGGAGGTCTGCTACAGCGTCATGGAGGTCGGCTACAGCGTCATGGAGGTCGGCTACAGCGTCATGGAGGTCTGCTACAGCGTCATGGAGGTCTGCTACAGCGTCATCGAGGTCTGCTACAGCGTCATCGAGGTCTGCTACAGCGTCATGGAGGTCTGCTACAGCGTCATGGAGGTCGGCTACAGCGTCATGGAGGTCGGCTACAGCATCATCGAGTTCCGCTGCAGCGTCATGGAGGTCTGCTACAGCTTCATGGAGGTCTGCCACAGTGTCATCAAAATCTGCTGCAGAGTCATCGAAGATACCAGCCACACGTGATGCTGGCTTCCGTTGCTCGTCGGACTGGTAAGTTAGCTCGCAATATGTTTGCTTTCAAAATGTTTGAAATTCTTACAGGGCACTGGTAGCCTGTCACAACCGTTTACGTACATGTACATCAAATATCTGGCCACAATATGTCATAATAGGCAAACCACTTAGGACCCAGCAATTCGAGTTTGGAGTCTGATCCTCTGTCTGCCTGATTCTCTCTCTCTCTCTCTCACTCTCTCTCTCTCTCTCTCTCTCACTCTCTCTCTCTCTCTCTCTCTCTCTCTCTCTCTCTCTCTCTCTCTCGCTGTCTCTCTCTCTCTCTCTCGCTGTCTCTCTCTCTCTCTCTCTCTCTCTCTCTCTCTCTCTCTCTCTCTCCCTGTCTCTCCCTTTCTGTCTCTCTTTGTCTGTCTGTCTCTCTTTCCCCTCTCTCTCTCTTTCTCTCTCACTCTCTCTCACTCTCTCTCTCTCTATCCCTCTCTCTCTGTCTCTCTCTCCTACGACGTCACTGAGGTCTGCTGCGGCGTCATCAAGGTCTCCTACAGCATCATCTTGATCTGCTGCATCATCATCGAGGTCTGCTACAGCGTCATGGAGGTCTGCTACAGCGTCATGGAGGTCGGCTACAACGTCATGGAGGTCTGCTACAACGTCATGGAGGTCGGCTACAGCGTCATGGAGGTCTGCTACAGCGTCATCGAGGTCGGCTACAGCGTCATGGAGGTCTGCTACAGCGTCATGGAGGTTGGCTACAGCGTCATCGAGGTCGGCTACAGCGTCATGGCGGTCTGCTACAGCGTCATGGAGGTCTGCTACAGCGTCATGGAGGTCTGCTACAGCGTCATGGAGGTCTGCTACAGCGTCATGGAGGTCGGCTACAGCGTCATGGAGGTCGGCTACAGCGTCATGGAGGTCGGCTACAGCGTCATGGAGGTCTGCTACAGCGTCATGGAGGTCTGCTACAGCGTCATCGAGGTCTGCTACAGCGTCATCGAGGTCTGCTACAGCGTCATGGAGGTCGGCTACAGCGTCATGGAGGTCGGCTACAGCGTCATGGAGGTCGGCTACAGCATCATCGAGGTCCGCTGCAGCGTCATGGAGGTCTGCTACAGCTTCATGGAGGTCTGCCACAGTGTCATCAAAATCTGCTGCAGAGTCATCGAAGATACCAGCCACACGTGATGCTGGCTTCCGTTGCTCGTCGGACTGGTAAGTTAGCTCGCAATATGTTTGCTTTCAAAATGTTTGAAATTCTTACAGGGCACTGGTAGCCTGTCACAACCGTTTACGTACATGTACATCAAATATCTGGCCACAATATGTCATAATAGGCAAACCACTTAGGACCCAGCAATTCGAGTTTGGAGTCTGATCCTCTGTCTGCCTGATTCTCTCTCTCTCTCTCTCTCTCTCTCTCTCTCTCTCTCTCTCTCTCTCTCTCTCTCTATCTCTCTCTCTCTCTCTCTCACTCTCTCTCTCTCTCTCTCTCTCCCTCTCTCTCTCTCTCTCGCTGTCTCTCTCTCTCTCGCTGTCTCTCTCTCTCTCTCTCTCTCTCTCTCTCTCTCTCTCTCTTACTCTCTCCCTCTTTCTCCCTCTCACTTCGGTGATGTGGCTGGACCTCTCGTGGAAATCCCTTTTGTATGGTGGTACTGGTAACGATTTGAAATTTCTTCTTCCGTCAACCCTGGACGTACTACCTTCTCCGACGAACCTTCACCGTTGGGGAAACACGGTGGTGGATCGGTACTGTAGTTTGTGCCGTGCATGGGCCTGTACTACACACCACCTGCTTGGCACTTGCCGCGTAGCACTGGACCAGGGACGTTACACCTGGAGGCACGACAACGTACTCTGGGTCATCGTCAGGAACATGCGTGAGGAGATTCGAATCTGCACTGTCATCATGGCATGGACTTACCCTCCACCAGCCTCTAGATGCTGACGCAGTCCGCGCAATGGCAGCAGACCGACAGGCATGGCGTGGAGCCCGCCCGACCTAACATGACTGATTCTCGTGATCCACGTGATTCCGCCAGACATGTTGTATGCATATTCTATTTTATTTTATACTTTGGATGAAGTTTTCCATTAGTCCTATTGGTATTGTTGCTAACAGCTTTTGTTGACGTCACTTTTGTCATTTCATTGTATCGTATTACTCTTCAGACATCAATCCTGAATGGCATAAGCGAAAGTGGCACCCCCGCCACCTACGCGGACATGCTTTTAATACTAATAATAACTGCTGCAAACACCGTACAAACCAAAATTCTAATGAGCTTGACTTCATCTTTTTTTGCAATGCGAAGCCAGTTCGCGTTCAGCCAGACGAAAGTTGGGTACGACTGATCTCTTGTCAGCGGCCTCAGACTGGAAACTTCTTGTCGACTCAGTGCAACGATTTCTTTCCCTAGCTGTGTTGCACTTACCACCCTAAGACCAAATATCGTTCTGTACTCTACGAGTCGTAGGATTGTATTCTGGATGGAGTTGACAGTTTGTGCTGAGGACAGATTCAGCAAATGGGTGGCAGGTTGTTTGGTTTTTTTGGTTGAGGTAGGTGTGCGTGCTTTCAATGAAATTCAATGTCCACAACAGTAGTTTTCAGCAACAAAAAAAACAGAAAAGAAAATGTGTATGAGCAGAGCTGTTAAGCCAAGACATCACTGATGGCATCAAGAAAAAATAAACAAAGACAAGAAGACGCAGCCGAAAAGGTGTGAAACACTTCTTGTCTACTCGCATTTTTTGAAATGCACTCTCTCCAGGACGGCGATTGGGAGGCCACAAGAACATGCTGAATTCACGCTGTGTATGTCTTCATTTTCAACTTCCTCCGCAGACGTGCATCAAACTGGACAGTGGACAAGTGCAACACACTATCGCTATTGCAACCACCGACTGTGATGCAGTGGGCATCGGCATCCAGCTGGGGATCGGACACAGAGCAGAGTTGCGGACATGCAAGCCCAGCGCACACGTGCTGCGTGGAGGAGACAAACTTCACTTTGGTTGCCCTTCATGGAGCGTTGGAAGAGTAAGTCGTAAAATGGCTTTGACATGATCTTCTAGTCTTGTAGACGACATTCAGCTAGTACATAACCTGCCAAGTGTAGTTGTGATACTTCCAATGCTGTCAATAGTTAGTGTGTTTACTGCAGTTGCCCTCGGTGAAATCCGACATGAAATGTATATTTGGCGCCCCGTACCGATGAGGCCCTCGACCATGTTGACACCATGTTAAGCGCGATGCACAATATCACTTCTGCGACGTGATGAGCGACGAGCGATGTGATCGAAAGTCATTTTCTGCAAAAATTTGCATTGAAGGCTGTCGCAGCTCCGTCGAAGGTTGCATCGCGGGGAAATTGAGCCAAGTTCAACTTCTGCGACGAGCGATGCGCATCACTTTCTACACGGCAGGCGCACATAACACAAGTTTTGCGACGAGCGTACGGTTTTGGACTGTGCGTGCCCCCCTGGATTTCTCTACGATGTGCCGTGCATTGTGCATCGAAGATTCTTTGCACGATATGAAAAGACTTTCGCTCGACGCTCATCGCCTCGGAGAAGTGATATTGTGCATCGTGCTTTAGTTGTACAATTACTGGTGTGCATGTGCATAGTATAAACTCTTCTATGGTCATGTCTGCACTGCTCAGGCTAGCTATGTACTGTACTCTAGCTACGTACGGTACTCTAGCTACGTACGGTACTCTAGCTATGTACTGTACTCTAGCTATGTACTGTACTCTAGCTACGTACGTGCGCATCTACTCATACTCATACGCATGTATACGCATATATGGCACCGAAGTGTAAAACGTACACGATTCGAGTCGTGCAACATGTGCACCCAAAGCTTCTGCACAGGGTGGGTACAGTTGGCTACATACACCCAACGTTCTGGTGACGTACGTGGAACCGGCTTGGGGATGCCAGCTTTGCACTTCCGGTAGGATTTCTCCAAGTCCAGCTGTACGTTCCTCAATATACTGCAATTCTGTGTGAGGCTTATCTGGTAAAACACGCAGGAAGTCGCAAAAGTTGCACTTTTTGCCAGCTAGCTGGCCTCTGCGTACACCGCAGACACACCCACACACAACAGAAAGATACAGATCACAGTAGTAGCGTAGTAGTGTGGTCTTTGTTCACTCACGATAAGAGATGGAAGAGCGTAGTGTATAGATGAGCATGCCACCTCACGCATATACATGTACACGTATGTACCAGACCAACATGATGCAAGAAGTGAACCACTGTGGCGAATGGGGCCGCCGGGTAATTAACCAGCCCGAAGCTGGCGGAAAAAACCTCAGGACCCCGGCGGAGGCACAACCCTGAGGAAAATCCAGTTAGAATAATCCCATAAGATAAATGAACAAAACGTAGCCTGCAGGACCTATCCCGAAGTGAGAATAAACGGGAGGGCGGGTGGGAAACTACAACGAAAAGAGAAAGACCACGATGAAGAGAAAAGTTTGAGAACACCGACAAAAAACCAGCTGACGCAATCCTGGTGCCGTAACTATGGTGAAAATGCTGGCAAAAAATACATTTTTCGTTTCATTCGCTACGCTCAGCCAACGAAAAATAACACTTGGTTAACTACTGTGGCAGTGGCCCTGCGACTGCATGTGACTATACGCAATGAGCATTTCCTTGTCGCAAGTATCGTATGTCATATGTCGCATCACAGAATAGTGATAATTATTGTCAATGGTGCTTCAAACGAGGTTCTGTAGAATAACCTGGCCATTTCATTCTGTGTGAGCCTGGCGAATGCCATACTAGTAATATGCTGTGGAAGTGCTCACGTCGCCTTGCTTGAACACCCCTGCTTACAAGAACACGAAAAAAAGTGAAATAGGTCCAGTTTGGATTTGTCGTAACTCAAAGTTTCATGCCACTGCAATCATCAGACAACTGATACTAAAAACCTAAGACTAGTCATTATGAATCAGATCATGCGTGATACTTAGCGCTTAGATTGTCATTGCTCTACTCGATTCAACGAATGAAGGCCAATATCACACAGATGTTATGGATGATGTGAGGGATAAAAAAATATATATATATAAAAAATTTCACGGTTCGCGTGAGACTCGGCTGGAAGCCGGGTTTTCCGCATCCGTAGGAACGCCACCACCCTTCAAGGATCAAGGCGCAGATGCAGCCCCTAAAGCGGTGGGAGGTGAGTAGATCAGCTCACCAGCAAGTGGTCAAAGACCGAAAATCCCATTCACTGTATCCATGTTTTCCTCGTGCCAGGCCACGAGTTCCCAATTAACTGAAGCGGAAGGATTTTTTCCAGCCGTGCTGCGACCCACAGTTAATGTGAGGGATAAGTAATGGAATAATGTTGGCACTGACGTATGTCAAGTTGTGATGGATAAATATATTATTAGCACTGATGCATGCCAAAACCAGTCATGACTGTGTCGGGTACTGTCCTTGTGCGGCAGCTGCGACTGGCTGCTACTTGTTCTACTATGTCACGCTAGGTGTGAAGTTTTTTTATCTACTTCCTCCACGTCATTAAAATTGTCGCTTCCCAGAGCGATTTTTCGAATCTATTTTGTCCACTCGAAGGGCAAAGAAATCACCTAGAAATTGAGGCAGAATATTGTCGACGGACGGGCTTTAGTTTGCGGCCTGCGCATAGCACATGCTAGCCAGTTCAGCCCGTGATACTGGTGGGTGGAACTGTACATAACCAGTCCAGTATGGTACTCTCCGAAGAGATGGTCTTCTGTATTTCATTGTATAATATACCGTAGACGGTACTGCAGATGAGTAACTCAATCTAAACTCCCACATCACACATGCTGTGATGCAGAGCTGGGAGTCCCTGACACAGCAGCAGCAGGGATGGTGATGGTGATGGTGATGGTGATGGGGATGGTGATGGGGATGGGGATGGTGATGGGGATGGGGATGGGGATGGTGATGGTGATCTATTGACTGGACTTTATGGTAGAACAGGGTTGCCGCCGGGGTTGCCAGGCTACAAGAACATGTCAAATTCTCATTTTGTACTTTAGCGTCAATCATATCCCAACCCTTCTGGGCAGACGTTCAGAAGGAGCTCAGATGGGGAAAATGTGCGTATAATGAGAGAGTGACATCGGGCTCATACAAGGACTATGTACATGCATGCCATACAGTTTCATCATCGAAAATGCATACCACCATGCATTGACGACGGGCATTCAGCAGCACACACTTACCTGGTATATCTACAGACTACACGACTGCACTGGTGAACTCAAGTACTGCATTGTGCATCTTTTATTGCTTTTATTTTTCGAAACTTTGGAGGAACTGCCGTTCCGGGTAATGGGCCTTCCGGCTGCCATTCCGATACTTGATCTTGCGGATAGATGATGTGGCGCCGTGGTTGGCTACCACCCGACTTCTCATATATATTGGCAGTCTTCTGACGAGCCAGGAGATGTTGAATTAATAATAATCTATGTTCCACTGTATTCGTGTGATATTTTTCTTTGCCTTCAGACGTGCATCGGACTGAACTGTTGGCCACTGTAATGCACGCTATTGCTGCTGCAAACATCTACAGTGATGCAGTGGACATCAACGATCAACCTTTAATTTTGCATGTGTCTGAAAAAATATTTTTCCTAGTGTGCTGCTTGTTGCCGCTTGTTGCCGCTTGTTGCCGCTATCTTGGTTGTTGTGTGTGGATCACGGTCGTCGTTATGTCATAGCAGTGGGCTTGTGCGCATGTGTGTGTATGTGTGTGTGTGCTGAGGAGATGCTCCCCGCATGAAACTGACAGTTGCCAGCATGACTGCTTGTACACCATGACCTTACAAGCACAACATGTATGCTTCCCCTATGCTTCCCCTATCGTCAACCACTCAGCAGTTTACAGCTTATTAAATTCTAATGCCGGGAGAGCTGCGTGATTGGATGTGACATCGTAGCTTGTAAGGTGCAGTGTACCGGGCTTCTGCGGCATTGTACTGTGCAGGGCCTCGGGGGCCTTCCTGCCGCTTGGAATGTACACCCTATGCTACTGTTGTCCCTGCCCTTTTGGCACGTTGGTTCGGACCGCGCGCGGTCTGCGCCGGTTTCATGATTATCGTACATGTTCTTGTTGTGCGCATGCTTGCATACTTATGGTACGCATTCTGGTTGTTTTGGGTGCCTTCTTCTTGAGACTCTCTTTGGAGCAACAACGGTAATCTGTTCTCTGAGTGTGGCGTCCGTGTGATATGAGATATCGAGAGTAATCGGAAGGGCTATCGTGCGAGGGAATAAACCCCCCCGACGACACTACTGTCATATTCGTGTAGTTGTGCGGTACAATTCTATTGTTAGCAGTCAGGTGTGTGTGTGTGCGTGTGAGTGTGAGCGATGGCAGAAAGGAGATATTTGGATATCTGGCTCGAGTGCTGTTTGAAATAGGGTTATGATTGGGTACTAGGGTATGCGTCCCTGCTTCAGGTAGAGTGTTGCTCAAAACCATGCCAGCTAGAGACACTGTGACACCGAAAACAGTCCTTCCTACTTCCTCATACTGAACTCTTACTGAATTTTAGAATTCTCTAAGCCGGCAGAGAGAATTCTGAAATGACTGGTCAACCGCCCTCAGCCAATCAGAGTTCAGCAAGTGTTTTCTTCTTGGCCTGCTTATGTCTGAACTCTTATTGTTTCTGCATGAGGGAAGAGAAACAAGCCTGGAGAAGAAAATCTAAAATTCACACCTGAAATGACTGGCCAACCGCCCTCGGCCAATCAGAGAGCAGCAAGTGTTTGCTTCTTGGCCTGTGAAGAAACAACAAGACTGATGGCTGAACTCTTGTTGTTTCTTCATGAGGAAGGAGAAACAAGCCTGGAGAAGAAAATCTAATTCTGGCCATCCCAAACCCCGACCACCATCCCCTGGAATGATTACTTTTATAGCCTATCCTGGCTCTTCATTTCACACCTGAAATGACTGGCCGCCCTCGGCCAATCAGAGAGCAGCAAGTGTTTGCTTCTTGGCCTGTGAAGAAACAACAAGACTGATGGCTGAACTCTTGTTGTTTCTTCATGAGGAAGGAGAAAGAAACAACAAGAGTGAAGCCATCAGCAAGCCTGGAGAAGAAAATCTAAAATTGACACCGAAAACAGTCCTTCCTACTTCTTCATACTGAACTCTGATTGACTGAATTTTAGAATTCTCTAAGCCGGCAGAGAGAATTCTGAAATGACTGGTCAACCGCCCTCAGCCAATCAGAGTTCAGCAAGTGTTTTCTTCTTGGCCTGCTTATGTCTGAACTCTTATTGTTTCTGCATGAGGGAGGAATGTCTGAACTCTTTTTGTTTCTGCATGAGGGAGGAGAAACAAGCCTGGAGAAGAAAATCTAAAATTCACACCTGAAATGACTGGCCAACCGCCCTCGGCCAATCAGAGAGCAGCAAGTGTTTGCTTCTTGGCCTGTGAAGAAACAACAAGACTGATGGCTGAACTCTTGTTGTTTCTTCATGAGGAAGGAGAAAAAAGCCTGGAGAAGAAAATCTAATTCTGGCCATCCCAAACCCCGACCACCATCCCCTCCTGGAATGATTACTTTTA